AGGAATTCTGGGAGTTGAAGTCCACAAGTCTTAAAGTTGCCAAGTTTGGAGAGCTTTGGACTAAGTGCAACCAATGCCATTTTAGTGCTGTTTTCTGGTCCGAACCCAGACTGAAAAGGATCCAGATAATTCGCTATATCCAGGGCCATTTGCAGCTGCCAGCCAACAACCTTCCCTAAAAGGGGAACATTTGAGACTAAAGTTATCCAATTACAGGTTTTTAAAAGTACATAAATCATGGTAACGTTGTGCCAATGGTAAGAGATATTGAATGAGGAATCTTTAGACAGCTTATAAGTTTAGTGTAATCTTAGACACGATCATGCAAAAATAAATACACGTTCAATTGACCTTGCTTTTAGGCAAATAAATAAATAAATGAACCACAGGTTCAAGTTAATTTATCCGAAGGGCCATAAGGTAGAAAACAATATTCTCTAAGGTCCACATAAAAATCACATGAAGGTACGTGTGTTTTTGTGCATGTTACAGAATCTTATTCAAAATAAGTCCCCTCCAAAAAGAACCTTGTTTTATATAATGCTAGAATAATGATGTAATACTTTTGGCTTAGTTCTGAGTAATAAGGAACAAAAGGGAACATTTCTAATAGGAAAAAAGCCGAATGGTGAAATCTGGTGATTATGAAAAATAAATGATGCAAGTTGCTATTGCTTTTACAATTTGTGCTCGCTCCAGAATTTGGCATTTTTACTTTCTTCGAAACCTGCTCTCCTCCCCTCTCCCCCCACCCGCCCCCCCATAACATACCTGACGGGGGAGCTTATTCACTGAGCGCAAGTAGTCTTTATCCAAAATACAGTTCCCAAGAGCATTACCAAAGCACCTGAAGAGACAGATGGCTGCTTCTTAAAACGTAATTCTCTTTTGCATAACAAAAAACATTGTGTGTGCACGTTACTCTTACTTCAGTGCCCTCTTCAAACCATCTGTGACAGCCTCTTTCCTTGCTTTTTCAAGGGACAAGGCCTTAGATTTCAAGCCTTCACTTACTCCGTAGCCAACATCTTCATGGTAAGCCCCATCCTGCAATAAGAGTAGGTTATACTATATTTCCTCTTCCTATAATTACCTTCACAATGCCTTTCTTAATATTTGAAGGGAAAAAAATGAATGGATGACTGTGGTGCGTTCAGTTTTTCTGGAACCTATTGGGTTTTGGATACTTAATCTGCAGTATTGCACCAAATCAATCTATTTTAATTCTTCAAGGCAAGTGTATCTTTGGCCTATAACAAAGAGGCAAATAAATATAAGTGGAATAACTTCTTCAGCATTAAATAACCCCTTTCAACCAGTAACAGAACTGACAATAGTAACAGTTTTATGTAACAATAGACTCTCTCCACCTGACTATAAATAGTACCTTCAAGAGTTCTTATTGTGCACATTTAGATATAATTTAACTCAGCAGTACCCAACCTTTCTGGCTTGGCAGCCCAGCAGGGTAGGAGGGATGTTTCCATGCAAATGGCAGCCGCACAAATTCTTGTGCACAGTCCATTTGTTTGAGCAGCAGGAGCATATGCGCGCCACACTCATAAACTGAGCTACATATGCAAGCCTGTGCACCTGCAGCTCGCGCAAGTGGAGCTATGCACACATGGCTCGCCCACTGCTGGTGTGGCCCGGTTCCAAACAGACCATGGCCCGGTAGTGACCTGCGGCCCAGGGGTTGGGGACCGCTGATTTAACTGTCTGTCTCTAAAAACTCCACTTTATTAGAACACCCACCCATATGTGCATGCTTACTTTAAGTTGAACTTTCACAAAGGCACAAACACCCACATAGAATTTGCCATTATTTAGATCAACAAAATCTGCAAAAGGAAGGAAGAAGAAAAAAGTTACACTAAAGAGGCAAGAGGCAGTAACAGAAATACATAAAAATGCATATGAGTTGTTGTTTTTTTTAAAGACCTCTGATAGCTTTTATTTATCGGTGGCACAGTGGTTAGAGTGCAGTACTGCAGGCCACTTCTGCTGACTATCAGCTGCCTGCAATTTGGCGGACTGAATCCCACCAGGCTGAAGGTTGACTCAGCCTTCCATCCTTCCTAGGTGGCTAAAATGAAGACCCAGATTGTTGGGGGCAATAGGCTGACTCTGTAAAACCGCTTAAAGAGCACTAAAGTAAAGCACTATAAAGCACAATATAAGCCTAAGTGCTACTGCTACAGCTATTTTTGAAAACTAAGACCAAACACAATACAAATTATATAAACAGGAAGCAAGAAAATGCGCTTAACTAAAATTAAATTCAATGGTGTCTGGTCATTTTCATCGTTTTAATAAACAGCTATTTACGGTTAGCACTTATTGATTATAAGATACCATATTTGAGGTAAACAAAACCTCCATAAATATTATTCGATGTTAATTAGAAGTACCAAACAAGCTTTTTTTTTTTACTGTATCATCTATCAGTATCAGACCTTTCCTAATAGACTACTACAGCAAAAAGCAAAAGAATACATTCAGGTGAAATGATGAATACAACCTTTCTTGTGTTGTTAAGACAGAGGCAGAGGTGTGGGGGGAGGCAAGTCATTTGTGCGTTCAGGCCTGGGAAAGCCGAGCGGCGGTAGGCCGGGGTGGGGGCGCGAGGAGAGCAACCACAGGAGGCTCGTCTTCATATCTCTTGGGTTGCCTGCAGCCTGCGCAATGTACTGGGATTACCTGACTTACGTTCTGTGTAGGTCCAGAGTGTGGCAACTAAGGGACTGGCAGACTGCAGCTGCTGCTAGATACCATCGGTCCCTGCATGTTTGCTGGCTTGGGGGAGGGCAGGGCACCTAGCCGGGCTGATCACCCTGAAAATAAGTCCTAGGGCTTATTTTGGGGCACAAAAGAAAATAAGACTGGGTCCACAAACTCCCAATTTCAAAAAGTGTAAAGCATTGCAGGTGACAGAGGCTGGAGGTGGAGAAAAGCAATCACAGAAGGAAAGGTAATTTGGGAGGCAGTGAGCACCAATAACAAAAGTGCAACAGAGTTCAAGACTTGGGAATATTGTACAGACTGGATCTGGCCACAAGGAACAATTTTAGACAAGTATCAAATTAGAAAACCAAATAATAAATAAATATGAGTGCTTGAGAATACTAGCAAAAGACACCTAAAAACTGTAACTAGTAGAATAAGAGGCTATTGTGGTGCTTCCACTTAAGAGGTAAGAGAACTACAACACAGATAAGCAAAACAGCTTTCTGGCTGGCAAATACAATCTAAAATAATGAATATACATCGATTTTATTTGAGGTTTTATTTAAGGTATTTAAGGTTGACTCAGCCTTCCATCCTTCTGAGGTGAGTAAAAAGTGGACCCAGATGGTTGGGGGAAAGAAGATGGTCTCTCTGTAAACCGCTTAGAGAGGGCTGTAAAGCACTGTGAAGCGGCATATAAGTCTAAGTGCTATTGCTATTTTATCTGCAAACCAAAGAATTCTTGGCCACCCTCTTACTTCAAGGTCTCAAGTTGCCTAAGGAAGAAAGGCAATTCTATAATTCCTCATAACATTTCTCATGCTATTCTACAATGGATTTTTATCAGGAACACATGGGAAATAAAGCAAAACTGCTTCCTAACTTTCTCCACGTGGAAATCTTATTACCAGTTCAAAGAAGCTTCCATGAGCAGAGCAGTATTGCAAAACTCCCAACCTTTTCTTTTGCATTTTATCAGAATTGCCTTTACGGTGGGAATATTTTGCTCACATTTTCAACCAAAACAAGTTCTTATTGGACTCACCAACGTTCTGCTGAGTGACAGAATGAGCCCAGCCATTGTATCCAAACATTTCATTGGCCAGGCTGATGACTCTGTGCCCCTCTATGTAGCAAACCTGAGACCAGAAAGAAATACGTTTTGCTGTAGCCTATCAAAGATCCATTTTTATCTCATATTCAAAAGGGATCTATTGCTATGTAATATAATTTATAAGTGATGTAGCACAGGAAAAACCATAAAGAAGCAGGTACATTTTAACAGGGATTACTTTTTATGTTTACCAACGTGGAGACAGACACTGTTTTCACGTAAATTGCTCTGTACATGACAGCTATATATAAATATTAAAGTGATCAAATGGATTCTATTTCAGGAGGAGAAAGCTGGTAATATCTCAAAATCTAGGCCAGAGTGTGGGATGGGATATATAGGGAACAAGGGTGGGATTGAGCATTATATGCGTCATGCTCCTTTAAATGTGTGAAAAGCTGTTCAAGATTCGGTGCGACAGAACATGAGATGCTTTGGTCAGCTAGTTGGGCAAAATAGACAGTCCTGGACTTACAACAATTTGCTTAGTGTCCATTCAAAGTTACAATGGCACTGAAAAAAGTGACTCACGACCTTTTTTCACACTTATGTCCCTTGCAGCACCCCCATTTGGATGCTTGACAACTGACTCACATTTATGATGGTTGCAGTGCCCCAGGGTCATCTGACCCCCCCCCCTTTTGCAACCTGACCATGAAGTCCATGGGGAAGCCAGATCCACTTAACAACCGTGTGCCTCATTTAACGACTGCAGAGACTCATTTAACAAATGTGGCAAGAAAAGCCGCAAAATGGAGCAAAACAAATTTCTCACTTAGCAGCAGGAATTTTGGTCAAAATTCCTTAGCAGAAGGAATTTTGGCCGTACACACAAAATACAACATTGTACTAAAAACCTGGCATTTAGAGCCATTTTGCCCAGGATTACGTTTATTTTTCTCTTGAAATCTCTGGTCAGCAGTTCTAATTTGGCAGCCTGAAGGTTAGTACCGATTCTCAACAATCTGGTCGAGTGAGGCTAGCTGTTGACAGCTATACAGTACAAGTTTTTTTTAATTAAAAAAAAGTGTTAAAACATCTTCACAAGTTACTCCAAACCTATCAGGGTCACATCTCTGGGGTTAAAAGGACGCTTTTCAGTACAAAGGAAAGGAAAGCTCTTAATCTCTAGTTTGTACCTTCTGTCCTCCTCCGGCTTGTCGGCTACTGATGTATTCTGGACCCAGCCTCTGCCGCAGAGCAGCCTGAACAGCCTGATACTCATCTGCTGTGTACTGGCACTTCACACAAACACAAAAATCAACAGATTTAATCACCTTGCTGTCTTCTTGCCTCTTCCGGTTCTTTCCATTTCAAGCTTTAATTTGCTCACACTTAGGTCTTTTTCTGAAAGAATAAACTGCCCTGTTGTGATACTGTCATAAATTATAAAATGATAAAAGTAATATCTTTTAGAGTTCACTCCAGAAGTCTCGCTATCTTAATGCAAGTTGAAGAGATAATTGTATCAGCATATTGCCTAGTATTCCTCACCAAGAAGCAACTTATGAATTAATCCAAAAAAAGACCTAAACCCTCAAACTTCAAAATTGTACAAAGTCTTCTTTGTAAAATAATCTCAATAATACCTAGCTTCATTTTTTCTGCATAGGATACAAAATACATTGGGATTATTTCAGAAAGATTGATTAGTGCCAACCTGATTTTCATCCAGGCCTTCTCCCATTAAAATTTCTAAGTAAGTTTGCTCCAGATTTGTTACGATGATGTAGAAACCATATTCTTATCCTTAATAAATGTTGCACAATGCTTCATCCCTGAGAAGATGGGCAGCAAACTAATTAAAAGCAATGATATACTGACCTGTCCAAACCACGTATTGGGTGTGTCACTGGTGTTGCCATTTCCATCTTTTGCCATTTCTACCTTGGACATCCTTCCAAAAATATATTAGAATTAGAATTAGAATATTCTTTATTGGCCCGGTGTGTTTGGACACACAAGGAATAAGCTCTCAGTGTACATACAAACAGCAAAACGATAGGTCATCAATTATAAATCATAAGATACAAACAACAAGTGATAAACCATAAGATACCAATAGCAAAAGGTAAGTTCCATTAATACATTTGAACCAATAGGAATCCCAAATATTGCAAAGAACTAATGTGAAGGTATTTCCTCAGAATTAACAGAGCAGGATATCCAACAGAAGCTCTGCACAAATTTTGTTCTTTTTCCAGAACTTGACTTTTCCTAATACAACTTTCTGGTTTTTCTTTGAAGAAGTTTCGCTTCTCATCCAAGAAGCTTCTTCAACTCTGGTTTATGTTACATTCTTACTAGCACTGATGACCTAGTTTGGGTCATGAAATGCCTGCAAGATAAGCAAGTTCAGAGAGCACCAAGGACCCCCTCATTCCAACCCTGAGCCACAAATATTCTCCTTTATTAGTAGGATCAGCCTGTTTGCTATCTAGCTGAGCAAATTGAGTAAGACGTTTTATCAACTTACGTGAAAGTAGGATTCCTTGAACGCAAAGGGACCGAAGGAATTTGGAATGGCAGCTCTGAAGGAGAAGGGACGATCGTTGAGAGCCCCTTTTATCCAGTCCCTACAAGGCAGCTGTTAAGGGCACCACCCGTCCGGGCAAAAGATAAATTAAGCCCGAGGCCACCGAGACCCCGCCTTGGACTCCCCTAAGATAAAAGAGCAGGCGAACTTCCCGCTCGGGCGGACTGCGCTTGCGCCGGACCGCCTCTCGCGCTCGGGGGCGGAGCATGGAAGGACTGGCATAGGAAAGGGAGCATCCGGGACGTGTCTGGGTGCCGCCCGGGCCTTCTCGGAGAAGGCGGGAGAACGTTTCGGCAGCGAGCTTCTATTGGTCTAAAGGTGAGAGGGAGAAGGGGAGGGGGGGAAAGGAGCGCCACGCGCCTCTCGTGATTGGTAGGCTTGGGTGGGTGGGGCGTTGAAGCGCTACCGCGAGCGAAGGACGAGGTGAGTCGACATTCGGGAAAAGGAGGGAGGGAGCAGGGAGTGGGCTGCGCGTGCCGGGCACTGATCGACCGGCCGATTGATTTCCGCCCCGACCCAGCTCGGCGGGCAGACTCGGAAAGGGCGGGGAGAGCCTCGCCGGAGCGTCACACGCCAGCGGGCGGGGCCAGCGACGAGAGGGGCGGGAGCCTGCCTGGATCCGCGTTTTGCGCCGCGGCTGGAGGCGCGGGCGGGGAGCCACTGGCCGAGGTGAGGAGGCGCTGCCCGTAGCGGGGCGAGGAAAGCGGGTTTGCTCCGGGACGCCGGCTGTACGGCTGACAGGTAACGGCGGCCATTTGGGAGCGGCCGGGAATTCCGGCCCTGGGTCTTTTATTACCGGGCTTACGAGCCGAGCGGGATCGAGCTGGCTGTTGGGGCGAAGGATCCTGGCGGTGGGGGATGGATGTGGGTGTGGGGAGGGGAAGGGAGCCCTCGGGGCGGGGCCTGCCCGCTTTGGTCGTGAGGCTCCCGCCCGGCCTCCCTCCCCCGGCTCAGGGCCCGTCAGCTGCCCTACGGAAGAGGAAGGTGTCCCCCCCCCCCTTCAAGGCCTGCCGGGGTCCCTCGACCTGGAGAAGGTGCTTCGCCTGGGAGGCTCTTCGTCCTGGCTCCGTGCCTTGGCATTGAGGGTCCGAGCCCACCCGGGAAAGAGGAACTCCCTGTGAGCCCTCACCCACCCGCCGGTCCCTCTATGAGCCTTTTCTTCACAATCCGTGGAATTACGGTCCCATCTTTTTTAAAAAAATAAGGGGAGGGGTTTTCTTGGGACGAAGCTGTCAGCCGCGGCTCATCATTATCCCGTCCTGGCGATGATTGACACCTCGGAGATAAAAAAAAGAAAATCTGGACACGTCTTATCAATGTCAAGCCGGCCCGACCCTGTTTTGGTCTCTTAGGGGCTTTAAGGTGGCCCTCGGTGATCTCCGAAGGAGATGTGATGGTCCTTAATTGGATCGATGGATGTAACAAGTTGTGCCTCACTTGAGCAACTGGATCCTTTTTGGACCTTTGCAGAGAATCCTAAGCAGTTAGCTGTTTGATGGGCTTATAGGTTCAGTCTCACTTAACGGTACTTAATTCTTTCCTCCACTAATAAAGCTCTTTGAAAATATGTGGTCAATGCTGTAGTACAGGGGTCTCCAACCTTGGCAACTTTAAGCCTGGAGGACTTCAACTCCCAGAATTCCCCAGCCAGCAA